AGACCCTACAATATAGTTTTTGCTTTAAATGCTTATATATTTTCAAGAATTTGAGAAGAAAAGAGAGTATTTTATATTTATCTACATATTTTCCATTTCCAGTGCTCCTTATTCCTTTCTGAAGATCTTTCTGTCACCCTGGATCACTTATCTCTAGGCTGAAAACTTCCTTTAGCTTCTTTCATGGTACAGGCCTACTGGCAATAAATTCTCTTAGTTTTCATTTGTCTGTAATTGTCTATTTCCCCTCCATTCTTGAAGAATGTTTTCATTGGATATAGAATTATGAGTTGACAAGTATTACCATCATCATTTCAGCACTTTAAAGATGTTCCATTGTCAACTGTCCTCCATTATTTATGATGAGAAGTCAGCAAATTGTAGAACTTGAAATGAAAGGGACAGTTCTTTAGATTCCCAGCTTTCTACAGCCAAGGAGCAGGTTGGCAGAGAAAGCTATTCAGTTACAGACACGAACCACTTCTCATGGAAAATCATGGATGATTCAGAAGGCAAGGCCAAAAGCCCAAACAGTGGAGCTAAGAGTAATGAAAAATCACTCCCAGGTTCTCTAGACAACACACATTCCCAGCTCCCAGAGTAGAAGGGATTGGTACATGTGCTTAGCAAGATTTCAGAAATGCTATGGACCAGTGATTGCTCTGTGTGGGTTTATCGATTATGGTTTTCCTGCCCCTTCCTCACCATTGCATGGTGGGCAAGGTGAACTCTTTAGTTCACAGTTTTTCAGATCAAGAGAACCATGCCCAGGAAGCTTCATCTGAACCTAAATCTGAATTAGTTGACTTGGGACCTCAAGTCTGGTTGATGCCATAATGGGATGAGACTTTGGGGGATACTGGCCAAGCACTGCAGTGTACTGTGTTTCCTTTCTCAATTTTTCCCCTGAAGTTAATAATTGCCTTTGTTGTTGTTGTTAATTTCCTTTGTACCTAACCGTATTTTCCAATTCTCCACGAGGTCAATCCCATTAGGAAACACATCAGTTCCTTTGTCCCCCCTTCTCTTTTTCATCTCTTCTTGATATACCCATTTTCCTTTCTCTGGGATAGTTGCTGTCTAGGCACTACAGTCAACCTGGGATGTCCCTTTAACTGTCATCCTTGGAATTCCATTTGCCTTTCTCCTGATTTGGATTCCCTGTCCTGGGTCCCACGTCTTCTTTCTTGGTTTGCACCTTGTTTTGGTGGAGCACATCCTTCCAGTTTCATCAAATTGAAAATATAGCACAATGGCAGAGGGGATGATGATGATGATGTCAGCATTCCTGTCTCTTGTGTCGCAGGGTTCCAGTGAAGACTGCCCTCTAGACTGACAGCTGCCATTCTGGAATCTTCCTTCACCAGCATCCTAGAGATTCCCTGCCTATTCTTCTGAGTTTGATCTCTGTTTTCTACAGCCTACATATCTTCCTTTCTTGGTTTATTCCTTCTTTCTTTTAAAAATTTTGGGGGAAGAGGTAATTAGGTTTTTTTTTTTAATGGAGATAGTGGAGATATTGAACCCAGGACCTCGTGCATACTAAGCATGTGCTCTACCACTGAGCTATACCCTCCCCTATCCCTTCTTTAGTCAGAGAACATTTTTCCTCTAGTGGCTTCCCAAGAATCATGCATGGGGTGAGAGGGTAAATTTTCTGAGAACTTCCACGTGTGAAAGTTTCACTCTCATACTGGAGTGAGTGCGGTGGTTATTGCTTCTTGCTGACTAGTTTCTTTCCCACTGCCTCCTTTCTGCTAACCAAACCTATCCTGTGGCCACACAGTGGCCTTGTGAGCAGCCTCGGCCAACTGTGGGACAATTGATGTCCTTCTTTGGGATTGTTCATATTGAATGGAGAAGAGGAGGAGCTCCAGCCCTCTCAGCTGGCATTCCTTGAGGAAGAGACCCCAGATGTTTCTGGCTCCAGGGGGCATCTTGGAGACTGGAGAATGCAGTCACCACCAGAGAATAGCAGAGTGTCCTGTGGGTAATAAGGGAGGCCATTGGTACCTTCTGGGTCCTGAAGCTCTTCCTTCAACTGGAGCATCGCAGGAAGGTCCCACAAACTGGGTCCCACAAACCAGGACCAGAGATCCATGAACACCTGTTGTGTTCCATGAATCTCAGCTGGCTTCCTGTCACCTGCTTTTGAAAGAAATCCGCACGACTACAGAGCCCGTCTTAGATGGTCACTGCTGAACATTCTGCAAACTTCTCTTTTCGATGTTGCTGCTGTTGTGTTGAGATTAAATTTTTTTCAGTTATTATACGTTCTAAAAATCTTTATACCTGCTCTTTTAAATTTTCCTCTTATATCATGAACATTTTTCATATTTACCCAACCTCCATGAAAATGTAATTTTTATGAATTATATTCACAGGATGTTTGTTAATTACTATCACCCAACTAGTTTTTGGGTTTTGTATGTTTTTGCAATTATAAACAACCTGGCCACTGACACCTGAATACTTTTTCTGTATTTAGGATCTTCCTCTTAGAATAGACTTCCAAAGACGAAGTCATTGAGTCAAAGGGGATAACTATTTAAAAAGCTGAAGCACAGACTGACAAACTGATTTAATGAAGGCTGTACCAGTTATATGCCCACCAGCTGGCGCATTTCTCCACAGCCTCATCTAACAACATTCCGCCAACGTCAAGATAACTCCACACAGGAGAACTGGCATCTCCTTGCTGTGACTTTGATTTGCATTTAATTACTGAGGCTGAATATTTCTCAGTAAGTCTATTAGCCAAATTGGCTTCCTCTTCGGATACTTGTCTGTTTGTGTCCATTCATTTCACCTTTAGGGGCTCTGGCTTTTTCTGATCAATTTCTTAAGCACTCAACAATAGCGGTGTTGGCACTTTGCCAAGTTTCCTGAAACTATTTTCCCTATTCTTTGCCTTTTTATTTTGAAACCCATTTTGTTTATGGGTTTTTGTTTGTTTGTTTGTTTGTTTTTGTTTATTGTTGGTGGCAGTTTTTTTGTTTGTCTAATGGGCCATATCTCTTTTGTGATGTCTAATGTGACATCTAACATTAGAAAACCCTTTCCCTTCCAGAGTTGTTGATAAATTTTCATTTCTATTTTTTTAGGAGGAATTCAAGTCTCTGACTCTCTCTGGATTCCAATTCTCCTCATCTGTTTGGTGGATGGATTAAGAAAGGGACCTAGTTTCCTGCTCACCCTGCACCCGCGCCCAGCTCCCTGCTCAGCACTGGGTCTACAGGTTCCAGGCCCAAGGGTGTCCAGGTGACACCACAGGGCTGTTTCTCTACCCACTGAAGTCTTCAAGAGTCCAGCTTTCCCTGGCATCCCCACTTTCTGATCACATCTTAACTTCTGTTGCTTGCTTGATTTCAAGGCACAGCCTTCTTAGAACTGGCTTTAAAAAAAAAAAAAAAAAGAGGCAGAGAAAACCGCAAAAGATGCCTGAGAAGTAGTTGACCCAACAGAATCTGAAAGGCCTCTGAGTTCCAAGGAATTGATTATCAGGTGCCTGGGGAATGTGGTTACACAGACATTCTGAAACACTTTCCAAAGTTTATGGTTAGGCATTTTTGCCTTAAATTCTGTCTTGTCATCTCTTCACACCGTTCACCTCGATGTTCCCCATAACTGGAACAATGTTAGGTACCAAACGTCCTCAAAAAATACTCGCAGAATGAATGGACTTATGTGTCTGGAATCCCTCTTCCCATCCTTCTGCCCTCCCTCCCCGACGGAGGCTAGCTCGCCCAGACACCCCACCCGAGAACTCCCGGATACAGCGCGGAGAGGGGCGCGAAGGAGGGACAGGAGAGGCAAGGGGGCCGGAGAAGGCGGGCCAGCGCCTCGGTGACAGCCCCGAATTGAGGGTGGCGCTCCCTCCCCCTCGCAGGAATACTGGAGAAGTGAAATTAGAATGAGTAGGGGCGGGCAGGAGAAGAGGACGGCAGACAGCTGGAAATGCTCGTGGTGGGGCAATGGGAGGAAGAGGGACAGAGAGACGAGGAGAGACCCCCGCCCCCGCATCCTTCCCCGCCCGCCCCGCGCTGCTGCCGGTAGCCGCTAGAGGGCAGGCCTGCGCTAACCTGTAGTGCCCGCGAAGGCCAAGGTCAGAGGGTAGGGGTCTGCCGGACACCTAGCCCAGCCCTGGAGCCAGTGACCCGGCCCCTACAACCTCCCGGGGCGCGCGGTAGCACACCCAGGCCACGCACGCACCCACTGCTCAGGCGAGAGACTAAGAAGCTCCCCACCCCAGGCCTGGACGGATCTGCTGGCCCTTGTTCCCGGCCCCGGCCCGAGCCCCTGTTGCAGCCGGACACTGCCACCCGAGCGGGGAGCGGCCGCCCAAGCCCCGACTCCGACTCTGACGTCAGTCTCGTGCTCCAAATAACTTCCTCCCCGAGCCGCTTCCGCGGCGGCCGCACGTCCCGGACCCGGCCAGCCGCGCCCAGGGCAGGGACGCCCCGGGACTGTCATCCCGACCTGGCCTTCCCAGAACCAGCTTCCGCCCCGCCCACCCCGGCGCGGGTTCCGGGAAGAACCCGCCCCCCACGCCCCAACCCCAGCCCCTGGCTCGGAGGGAGGAGGGTGCCGCCAAGGGACCAGGGTGGGTAGGGGGCGGTCAGGGCCACCCAGGGGCGGGCCTTGGGACCTGCGCTTTGGGGAAGAGCTGGGACCCAATTTCTGGAAGGAGGGCATGTGAGGGGCGCTGGGGTCAGCTGCGGATCCGGCCTCCAGACTCCTTCCCTGCTCTTCTTTGTACCATAAACACAGCTGACCTGGACTCTCCTGTGTCCATCCCCCTCCCTCAAAAAATGTAAGCCCAGTCCTGGATTGTTTCATTCACTGATGCCTGGTACGTAGTAGGTTGTCAAGAAATAAGAATGAAGGACCAAATTAATGACTGAAACAGGGAGGATCTCACAGGCGGGCTGCAGTCGCCTTGTGTAGAGCCTGTGGTCAGTTGGGGGGGGTGCAGTCACAGTAAGGGCAGAACCCCATGCCACAAGCACCTAAATGGGACGGATGCACCCTAGCCCCCAAACCCTAATGTGTTTTAGGGTGAGGGGTCTGGCCCTTGGGGTTCAGGGCAGGTCATGGAGGAATTGGGGTTCTGGGCTGTCTCCTTCCTGCTGAGAGGAACTGGGCAGGCCAGGCTGACAGGTCCGGCAGCATAGCTGAGCTGACACTCATCTCCAGCATAAAACCCCACTTCATGGAGCCCCGAACATCCTAGCGCTCACGGAGCTCCAGCCACCACTGTCCCCTGCCCGGTGGGCAATCCAGCCAGGCTGAGACCATGAGGCGGGTGCCAGCTTTGGCCCTGCTCCTGCTGCTGCTGCGGTTTGGTGAGTCCCAGACTTTTCAGGGGGCCACTCTGTCCTACTGGGAGCTGGAGCTAAGCCCCCCACTCCCTGGCCAGGCCTGGGGCTGCAGCACAGTCCTCCCCTCCCTGTCCCCATGGGAACTCCCACCTGGGGAGTGAAGTGGGGGTGTGAATGCAGGCCCAAGAGGACCCTGGAGGCAGTGACGTAGGCAGGATCCTCTCCCCTTGCCTCGGGCAACCATGGCCAAGCTCTAGGCTTAGTGCTTCTTCTTCCTCTCATCTTGGTCTCCAAGATGAAAAACAGGGCTGCATGTGCTCAGGATCTGAACTCAGGACCGATGGGCTCTAATCCCTGGGCCACCATCACCCGGGCCCAGGAGGGGTGGCTGAGCAGCCACCTGAACCTGGGAGCCGCAGGAGGCTGGCGAGGGCTCAGCAGGGAGCAGAGGGGGCAGGAGTGCAGGCTCCTTCTCCCATCAGAGAGGGAGGGTATAGGAGGAGCATGTCCTGCACCCCTATCGCCTCTCCCAATCTTGGGTCAGGGTTAGCAGGTGCCAGCCAGGGGGCCCCACTTGCCAGGCCCCTCCCTACCAGCTGGGCAGGCTGCTCTCTGCCAGGGAAACTCTCCTGCATTCCTGGGCCAGCCTGGCCAGCCCAGCCGCCACCTCACTTCCCTGTCCTCAAGTCACCTCTCAGGGCCGAGCCAGGTCACCCGAGGCTGCAACTCAGCCAGGCCTCCGGGCTTCCCACTAGAGGAGGAGGGTTCCTGCTGAACTCCCCAGGCCTTGCTGTCCAGCCTCCCCCTCCTGGCCTCCTGGCCCAAGGATAACAGCGTTCTTTGAGGGATGCCATCTCTGCTAGGGTGTGTAACACAGTGATTGCTCCTGATGGGTTGAGTAATCAAGGTCATTGCCAAAGAGGAAACAGCAGCCTGGATTTGGCTGTCAAACAGCTGGGACCAGAGGCCTGATCTCTGTCAGCACCATCCTCACCTCTCACCTCTGGCTGTTCCCTCCTAGAGCCTGAGGTCTCTCCCATCACCACCAGTAACTTGCTACAGGAGCATGAGGGCCCTGGCCCGAAGGAGGGGCCTGACACCCATGGCTGTCTCGCCCAGCCCCAGGAAGGATACCCACACTGCAGATCCAAGGTCTCCACATGACCCCCTCCTGGTCAGCACTGCTCCCATGGCTGCTCTCATCCTGATCTTTATACATTCCCTGGGCTCAGGCCCTCTGGATGTGGGCTCCTCCTTCATGGAGATCTTGGGCCCATAGGAGAGATGAGATTCTACCTCCAGGACAAGCTGGGCAGAGCTCTGTGAAGGCAGATGGGAAGACAGAGAGCTCAGGAGAGGCAGCCAGGCTTCACAGATGGGTGGTGCAAGCAAGAAGGGCTGCCAGGAGGAGGAGGCATTCAGTTAGGCTTGATCTGGATTAGGACCCGTAGAATCTGGATTTGTAGACACCAGGAGTAAAGGGCCTCCAGGCACAGGGGTGTTGTGAGCAAACATTCAGAGGCTGGAAGGCCTGAGCCTTTCTAAATGAGAAGCAGGGTGCATTAGGTTGGGGTGAGGATGCCTAAAGTGGGGACTGCTGGGCAGGGTGCATATGCACTTGATCCTGGGAGCAGACAATGGATCCATCTGGGTGTATGGGAAAGAAAGAAGGCTGTGGGGAGAACCGGGACAAGGCTCTGGAAAATTCCCAGAGGGAAAGAATAAGTCTGAAAGCACATTAGTGCTGGTGAGGATGGTGAGGATGGTGAGGATGGTGTGGATGGTGAGAAAGTTGGGGGCTGGGGAGTGAATGGGAGCATCATACAAGTGGAAGCATCAGGCCTTTGAAGGAGCACAGGGTCAGGTGTTATCAATCTAATTAAATGATATTATACTTATTTTAGTATAATAAATGAGGCTGGAGGGAACTGCCTTCCCAGGGGACATTTGCTTCTTTTTTTCTTTCTTTCTTTCTTTTTGACAGAGGTACTAGGTAGGGATTGAACCCAGGACCTCCTGCATGCTAAGCAGGAGCTCTACCATTCAGCTATACCCACCTTCCGACACTTGCGTTTTAAAAGGGTGCCTTGTTAACACAGATCAATGAGTGACTGTTCAGCAGTAGACTTCCCACTCCCCGTTGCCGGCCTGCACGGACACTACTCTTGCCCCCATACTTCTGTTTGGCACTTCTATTTTAAAGAGTGGCCAGTCCTGACTGTGCCTTCTCAGCCCCCTAGTGTCTACCTCCTCCTCTCGCCCCCTGCATAGCACCCCCCAAACTGCTTCATCATCCAACCCCATCCTCAGCATTGGGGACTGCGTCCCTCAGACTGGAAGGATGGGGATCCCATAAAAATCCCCCAGGTGTTCGGGCACACCACAGAGGCGTGGCTCAGCCTGACCTGTTCCTGCCCTCCATGGCCGCTCAGATGCCTGGGATTGGTTCCTTCTTCAGGTCAAAGAGTGAACTCACCATGAAAGGGGTTGGGGCGTAGTGGAAATGCTGAGGGTGGAGGTGGGGAGAGGCTGTCCTGAGCCCCTGCCCCAGCTCTGATCGGATCTGCCCCCAGTGAACCAGGCATAGGCAGGGCTCTCTCTACAGGCAGATATTTCTGGAGTGTTGCTGGCAGGGAGCTGAGGACTAATGGCCTGGCTGGGGTCTTCAGGCTGGGGTGGAGGATCCATAGATACTGGGTAGCAGGCCCTGTGTCTCTGTCCAGAGACGTGGGGGTAACGGATCCAGGGGAGATGGGCCTCAGAATGGTCCCACTCCAACTCCTCTGCCAGTCCCCTCACCCAGGCAGGGGTGCCATGGCCCAGCGGGGGATCCTGGGCTCCAACTGCAAGCATCCTGGGATGTCTTGGAGAGGGGTTGGCTCTTGGGCACCTGGAATCTTGGGGGGACTGACCCAAGGCCACTGGCTGGCCTCTCTCTACTCCTCTGAGACCAGAGAGACCTGTGGAGCTGAGCTGTCATCTCATGATTAAACCTTGGAGGCTTGCTTATGCTGGAACAGACTGTGAGCAAAGGCCCCAGGGCCTATCTCTTCCTTCATCCCAGCCCCAGGCTGTTGAAGAGGGGTGAGGGAGACCCTACAGCACCAGGGCTGAAGGCTAGATTCTCCCCAGAGCTTCCAGACAAGGATGAGTGTGGGGTGTGGAGGAAAAGCCCCTGTGAGGACAAGAAGGAGCCATCCTGCCCCAAACAGGAGAATCAAGCTATGACAGGATCCCCTTGCTGGCATCTTCTAACTGGTTTCTCCTGGGGCAGGTTTATCCATTCTTACAGATAAGCTCTGGTCCACAGGCCTGGGCCAGCAACCATTGCAGGGGGCCAGACTTGTGGGGAACTGAAAGTCCCTGGCTTCTCCTGCCAGGTACTTCTGTGGACTTCCCTTCTAAGTCTGCAGGAGGCTGGGTGTGGAGCAGAGGAGAGTCTACTCCAAGCAGCAGCGGGAGGGGAAGAGCAGACCTTCAGCAAAGTTGGCTAATCACCTTCTTTTTTCTTGCTTTCAGGAACTCAGGGGACTGAGGCATTAAGTGGTAAGCATCTAAGGCCCTTGGGTTGAGGGAACAGGAGTGGGCTTGTCTGAGAGCTGCAAGACTGGCCAGGAACCCCCACCCCTGGAACGAGACCCAGAATGAATGGGCAGGGCACAGGGAATCCCACAGTGCAGACAAGTTGTGGTTCAGTGGAACTGGAGCCCAGGGAGAAGTGGAGGAGAAAGGTCTGATACACAGTGCAGATGGCAAAAGAAGGCCACTGAGGCATGAAGCATGGAGAAAGGGGGGCAGGAAAGGTGACAGGACAGCTAAGGATAGAACTGGAGGACCATTCTGCTATAACAGACCCCCTTGGGGTCACCTACCCCATGTGGGACTCTCCCAACACCCACTGAACTTCCAGGAGCCCACCTGGCCCTGAGATAAGACCCTTACCTGTGTTATCTCACCACCCCCTCACCCCATGACCGGAGGTGTAGGTCTGATGTCACCATTTCACAGATGAAGGGTGTGAGGCCCACGGGGTGGGGGACTTCCCCACAGCTGGGAATGGTCTGCCTGTGTCAGAGGCTGACTCGTTGCAGAGTCTTTTGACTTGCCTAAGGTCACCGAGCAGGTCAGGGGCAGGGAGGCTGGGAATTGGGCAGAAAGTAAAAGCTTAAGTGTGGGGTTAGGGGTAGGGAATCAGAGTCCATGGAACTGACTCACAGTGAGCGCCACCCTGGCTGTGCTCCCTTAGCCTGTGGGCGTCCTCGGATGCTGAACCGGATGGTGGGCGGGCAGGATGCCTTGGAGGGCGAGTGGCCATGGCAGGTCAGCATTCAGCGAAATGGAAGCCACTTCTGTGGGGGCAGCCTCATCACAGAGCGGTGGGTCCTCACCGCAGCACACTGCTTCTCCAAGTAAGTCTGCTGAGACCCCACGCTCCCCCTCCCCACCCAACGCCAGCCTCACCGGCCTTTCTGTCTACTGGGGCGCAGACCCTGTACATGGTAACCCACGAACGCTCGGCTTCAGCACCGCGGACAGCGCCACGTGTGGCGGGGCGCGGGCGCTCGGGCTGAACACCTACCCGCTGGGGAGGCTGTCCAGCACTGACCGGCCTTCCCAGACAGAGCTCCCTTTAGGTCCAACCACGGAGTCAGCTTCTGGCAGTAATCGTTGCTTCCCAGCCTTTGCCCCTCTCAGCCGAGCTGGGAGGGGTCCATTCCCCAGCTGCTGGCCTCACAAGTGAGGTGCTTTGTCAGGCCTGGGGTCCCATCCCTGCAAACGCTGGCAGCCTCCTCCCGCACCCTGGCCTTCTTCCCTGTCCCCTCTCCCAGACTTCAAATCCAGGACACTCCCTTTCTGGCTGGGACTCTGGTTACAAATGGACTGGAGCAGAATGTCCCTTCCTCCTCCTCATCCTAAGGTCACCTATACCATCCCTATCCAAAGAGCCAAGCCACCCAATCCCTGCTATCATACCGTGACCCACCTGGCCCAGACCTATAGGGTTTTCCAGGCATCTCAGCTTGTCTCACCATAGCTCTGCAATTCTTTTAAAACTTCACATCTTAAATTCAGAAATGTGGGCTCAGAGGGAGTAGGTCACTTGCCTAAGGCTGGGTCCAACCCCCAGCTGCACACCCATGGGTGGTCATCTCCAACTCTCACAGCAAACCTTTCAGGTAGGGATTGTTCCTGTCCCCATTTTACAGACAAGAAAACTGAGTCACAGAGAACTTGCTTGGTGACTTGCCCCAGGTTGCCAAGCTGGCCAGGGTGGAGTTGGGAACTAAAGCTGCTTCAGCTTCTACACCCTCAACCACCTCATCCTGATGTTTGTCCCCCTGGAGATTACTTTTTTGATGATAATGTGCAAAGAGAGATTAGGCACTGGGGTGGGCTGGGAGAGAGCCCAACTCCTAGTTCCCTTCTCCATTAAACTTCCCCTTGTTAAGCCCTAGTGGGGCTGCCTCACACCAGGTCTCTGCTCTCCTACCAGCACCTCTGAAACATTGCTGTACCAGGTCCTGCTGGGGGCGCGGCAACTGGTGAAGCCGGGGCCACATGCCATGTACGCTGGGGTGAAGCGAGTGGAGAGCAACCCCCTGTACCAGGGCATGGCCTCTAGTGCCGATGTGGCCCTGGTGGAGCTGGAGGCGCCCGTGACCTTCACCGATTATATCCTCCCTGTGTGTGTTCCTGACCCATCGGTCATCTTTGAGACAGGCATGAACTGCTGGGTCACCGGCTGGGGCAGCCCCAGTGAACAAGGTAATGGACATGGCCAGGAGAGAATGGGGGACAGGCCTAGAGAAAGCAGCTTGGGGGCCAATCTGAACCAACAATCTTTTTCTGTTAATATTGGTACACATGATTTCTACACAAGTGGGTGGAGTAAGTATGGAAAGGGGCCACAGGCTCAGGAGGAGGAGCCATGGGGAAGTGGAGAAAGGGGAACAAAGAGCCTAGCCTCGTAGATGGAGGGAGGGAAGAAGCAATTCTGTTCCACAAAGCTGAGGGCCAGAAGAGGTCTAAACCCAAGCAAGAAATGGGGAGGGACAGAGCTATGGTCCTTGAGAACCCAGAGTCATGGGGTCCTCAGTAAGACTATCCATTGAGCTGCAGGCTGTGTCACCCCTCCCCAGAGCGCCTACCCAACCCACGGATCCTGCAGAAACTTGCAGTGCCCATCATTGACACGCCCAAGTGCAACCTGCTCTACAGCAAAGACGCCGAGTCCGGCTTCCAGCCAAAAACCATCAAGGAGGACATGCTGTGTGCAGGCTTCGCCGAGGGCAAGAAGGACGCCTGCAAGGTAGGGATTAGCGTGGGCTATGCAGGGGCTGAGGCCTGCTCCCAAGGCCTGGGTCAGGGTGGAAGCCAGTCTACCTGGGACAAGGCACGAGGCCCCTGTTGGAGGGCCCTCCCAGGGGAGTCAATCAGTAGGTCTGCAGTGGGGCTGAGGAAACTGCTCTTTCAGCTTGTTCCTCTGAGGTGAATCAGGGTGGGAGCTGGGGATGCTAGAGAAATTGGCACCCCAGGCCAGAGAGGAAGGACCAGAGGGGAGTAGGGGGGTGTCCTAGCCACGGGGAGGAAAACGGGCCTGTGGGTACCTGTGTACCACATAGGCTGGCTCTTGGGCCTCTATGAGCTTTGACTGTGCCTGTTTCACCCACAGGGAGACTCAGGGGGCCCCCTGGTGTGCCTTGTGGGCCAGTCGTGGATGCAGGCTGGGGTGATCAGCTGGGGCGAGGGCTGCGCCCGCCGGAACCGCCCAGGCGTCTACATCCGGGTCACCTCTCACCATAATTGGATCCATCGCATCATTCCCAAACTGCAGTTCCAGCGGGCTAGGTCAGGTGGCCAGAAGCGGGGCTTCCGGGGCCATCAGCTCCCCAGTAGGAACTTAGCGCCCTGCCTGGCAGCCCATGCCATCCTCCTGGTCCTCATTGCCCCGCTCACCTTCCTCTGAACCTCACTGAGGCCGGTGGCGCAGTGGAGCCCCGGGGCCCAGGGTGTACATTTGTAAATAGCTCCCCAATTCTCCCTTCTCTCAAGTGCTCACTTTTTAAATTTATGTTCATGAGCCAATAAAAACCCAACCTCAGTGCTGGCTCCCTGAGCATGGACTCTCAGGTGAAGGAGTCGGGGTGGAGAGGTGCTGGATGTGATGGTGCCGGAGGGGATGGCGCTGAGGAGCTGTGAGTTGGGGGGTCAATGTTGGGTGGGAAATTAGAGGGCAAGGCTCCCCAGTGGAAGGGAACTACAGCAGGCACGCTGGAGGCTGGACATCACTGAGTCTAGGGCCTCCTTGTCTCCTGTGACATCTGTCACCAGACCCCCTCACAGGTGGCTTCCCTGCTCCCACCCCTGCCTCAGTGTCCTTGCCAACGTGGTCCTCACCACAAGTGTTGCCAAGGGGTGCCCTGTGTTGGGCACTGGGGGCAGTGACAGACACTAGTAGGGGCCCTGGGGGAGGGTCCAGGAGGGCCCTGCGGAGTGTTGGGGATCACAGCCCCCACTGCTTGTGTCTGAATCACCCCAAAACTTCTCTTGGTGATGCACTGCTCCTGCAGGGGCTGCTCCTGGTGCCCAAGGGCCCCCTTTACCCACCTCTTCTTTTCCTCTACCCACTCCCTCGGCCTCAACCTCCGTCAGTGAAAGCAAAGCTGCAGTGGGTAGGGAGAGGCTGGAGTTGGGGTCCACATCTTCTGGGAGACTTTGGACAAGTCACAGCCCCTTCTGAGCCCGTTTCTCTCCTGCCACCCAGGACAGCGCCCCCACCTGCCTCTCGGGTGACGAGGTGGATGGAGAACTTGCCTAAGGCTATGTCAGTCTCCTGTGCCTGCCCACCTCCTTCCTAGGCTCCAGCCGCCTGGGGACAGCTCTGCCAGGGATATGCAGACCCAACACCCCAGAGGCTAGACCTCCCCAGACCTCAGGGATGCAGGGGCCTGTGTGACCTACATCAAGTTCACACACAGCAGTCAGAGCTGTGATGCTGTCACACAGAGGAGCCAAGGCCCAGGTCACGTGGGGCCATGGAGGTCAGCAGGAAAGGTCCCTCCGGGACAGGCAGAGGTTTCAGCAGCTACCTGAGCCAGGACCCCTTCCTTCCTCCTTCCGCAATGTTTGAAGCTGAGGCCAGACTTGCTGGAGTCTTTAATGGTTTCTGCGAGGATCCCTGGGAATTCAGAAACAAGCTAGAATCCTGCACAGACAGCCTTGTGCTCAGCCCCTGCCCAGTGTCCCCACCCCCTTGTCCCTCATCCTGTCATCACCCCACACAATCCCTTCCTAGTCCACCCAGTTTCAGCCTGTGGCCACCAGGAATCCAGCAGGAACAGGTCTCGAAGCTCAGGCCCCCGGCTCACTCCGGCCCTGCCTGTCAAGGCCCTGATGGTGCAGCTGCCCACGCAGGCAGCCCTGGGTTCTCAGTCTGGCCCAAGTGCGTCCACAGCAGGCCTTCTGTAGCCAGACGATCGACTCCCCCATGTGGGCGGACTGCTGAAAGGCAGCAGGCTTCCGCTGTGCTCAGCAACCTTGAACGGGAAAGAGTCCTAGGGGGACAGGGCCTTGGACACTACACACACACACCCATGCCCACAGGCTAGTGCACACCACATGCATACGCATGCAGATGGACCCACCAGTGCACACATGCCTATGCACACCCAGGCACAGAGAAGCACACGCACGTAAGAGAGCACACACACGGACCCATACTCTCCCAGCTGGATATTAATGGAGCAAATCAATAAGCACTGAGCAGGCACCTGCTGTGGCCCAGTCCCGGGGAGAGGAGGAAACACACACTGAATTCCCCTCTGCTCTACTTTGCCTGGGCATGTTCCCGAGGGCAGGAAGGAGTGCTTGGTGGCCCTCTGGGGACTGGGTCCTCTGTGAGCAACTTCTCCAGAGCAGAATGGGCTCCAAGTTCTAGGGGAGGAGGCAGTGCAGGGAAGGGAGGAAGAGGTACAGGGCAGCAGGTGCACTGAGGCCTGATGGGGGAACAATTCCGTTGTGGGTGTCCTGAGGGTGGCTCCAGGGACAAGTTCTCGGTCATTCTGGCTGGAATCAAGGGGCTGGCCTGGGTCCTGCAGCCCTGGAGAGAGGCTAGCCCCCTGTGGGGAGAAGAAAAAGCTTCAGGTCCTACAGAGGTGGGCATCAGGGGAGGTTAGACAGACCCTCTGCCACCTTGGTGGTGAGAGGCCAGGATGGAGATGGGGTGAGGACCAGGCTCCTCTTAGAGGAGGACCTGCCACCCCATCTGCCTCCTCTTGCCTGCTGTCCTAACTTTCCAGGTGCCCTGGTATCCCCCATCACCCCACTCATTCTCTTCCCTCTGCTACAGGAGTCTGGTTAGGGTTCCGCGGGGCTAACAGGGAGGAGAGGCACAGATGTCAGGGCTGCCCAGCACCCCCATTAACGCTCCACCCAGCC